ATAGACCCAGCTGGTGTCAGCTGCAGAAAAGATTGCTTGTTCATTGGTGGGGAGAACCCCATCCCCTGACATTTGGTCACAGAAATCTTCTGTGTTGATGATTGTGGTGTGAGAGCCAAGGGAAAACACAGTTTGATTTTTTCTAAACAGTAGCTTTCCCTCAATACAAAGAGAATACCATAGTCTTTGCTGCGATTGGGCTGATTGCACACAGTCAAGTGGCATTATGTGCCTCTGGTGAGCAAATTAATAGGATTACAGCAGTTATGAAGCACGCTGCTGCAGAGAGGACTCCTGCCACCCAGATGCACACTGTCATCACTAATGTGAATCCTCACAGCCGTAATAATAGAAAATGAACAGCATTTCATATTTTAAAACTCTAGACAGAAGCCATTAGCGATTTATTTTTTCCCAAAGAACCAGCTAATTAAAATTGTAAATAAGGTTCTGTTATGTTTGTATGTACTCCTGTGTCTCATGAAGAACCACAGTATAGATGGCTGTAAGACTATTCTGTGCATATTACAACCTGCCTTCACTTCCATCTGTCCACACTCCCATCAGAGAAGAAGGCCACGCTCAGGGGAAGGAGGATTTATGAGAAAGGCTTCCACAACAGAAGGCAGAATTAAGAAAGAGGAGGACCCCAGAGAGCTCAGGAAACCTGGCTTTCTGAGGCACTGTAAGAAGCCAGAGAATATTTTCCTACTGGGTGGTAATTTAGTAGGTGGGTAGTTATTGTTGTTGTTATTATTGAATATCAGCAGAATAGGATTCCCTAATGGGAATTTAAAAAAACACACTATGACAAAAATCTAAAGATCAACCAATTTTAACTTTTTCCTTTCAGTGTTGCTCATGCACCATACTTAGTAAGGTATTAGTAGGGTATCACTCCCAGAGACACTCTTGGTATGGTAGTAATTGATGGCTTCTATTGGTACCAATTCACAGCTAAAATATAAAAAAATTGATTTTCCTTTCATGATTTAATGATATGCAATTATTTCTCTGTGTTATGGACTGAATTGTACCCACCCCAAATTCATATGTTGGAGCTCCAACCCCTAGTACCTCAGAATGTGACTGCATTTGAAAATAAGGTCTTTAAAGAGGTAATTAAGTTTAAATGAGGCCATTAGGGTGGGAGCTAATCCACTCTGACTGGTGCCCTTACAAAAAGAGCAGATTAAGACATACAGAGAGATGCCAAGAGTGTGCGCCCACAGAGAAAAGGCCTCATGAGAGCACAGTGAGAAGGTGGCTATTTGCAAGCCAAGGAGAGAGCCTCAAGAGAAACTAGGCCTGTCAATACCTTGATGTTGGACTTCAAGCCTCCAGAACCCTAAGCAAATAAATTTCTGGTGTTCAATCCACTCAGTCTGTGGTATTATAATGGCAGCCCCAGCAAACTAATACTCAGGAATGGGCACCTTAGCTGGAGTGGGGTTTTTAACCAGTGTATAAACACGTGACACATGAAAACAAAACTTAATAGGTAAGTTATTAATTGGTTATTTTAATTTATAAAACAATATACCTAGGACTTAAAATTATGAATTCTTTGGTATATAGTAGTTAATTCATAGGCCATTAATTATTGTCAATGAATGAACAATGAGCCTTAAATCAATGCTGATTATTGACTGGAAAATATACCTGACCTGACCCCCACCTCATTTAAATTGGGCCCTTTTGTTACACTCTGTCACAATATTCCTTATCTTCCAACATAAAACTTGTTTGTTTGTAATTATATATTTATTTGTGAGATCATATATTTAACATGTCTCTCCATTGGATTCTCCATGGGACACAATCATCTCTGTTTTGTTCACCACTGATCACAATGTCTGATCCTTCATTATTTGTTGAATGAGTGAATAAAGAAGGTATGAGATTCTTAGGATCTTAAATTGGGGAGGTTGATTGAGAGGCTTTAGGATTCCCCTGAATCTCCTAAAACTGCCCGAAAAAAAATTTGTTCATATATACATTTCTCCAGGAGAGGACACACAACCTTCATTAGATTTCAAAGGGATCTGTGACCCCCCTGCAACATAAGGAATCACTGGCCTCTTTCAGTGGTAAAACAAGATTCAATACTAAGGAACTAACCTGTAGCCTGAAACAAAGTATGCTACATTTACATGCAGGGGTGTATGAGTGTAAGTATATGTGTGTGTATAATTTCCAAGAACAGAAACACTTCAGTGAATTTGCAAGAACAATCCACGTTCCTACAGCACCTGAGTAACTGATCATTCCTATAGTCATTGGGCTCAAGCAGTAGCCGCTGGCATCCATCTGTTTCCTGGCAGCAACATCCATCAACTGGGCCAGAAAAAGAAGCCTGTAATTCCATCCTCTCACCTGCTTGGGATGCTGACATCCTTCTTTGTGGGAAGTTTCTTTTAATAACAAACCTGTAAGCCTCCCGTTACAAAGGCACCAAGCCGTGTTTATAATGCACAGGTGCCCAGGCAATCTGATCCAACAACCGTGGGATTTCCCTTCCCTCACCCTGCAGCCAGAGAGGAGATCCTGCCTAATCAGGCTAAGGAGGCCTCTGAGTGCTGTGTGCACTCGCAGCACAGGGAGGATACAAGATGGGCTGGAACATGCTAATTGGCTGTGATATAGGACATCTCTGCTTCCCTATCTCCAAGTTCCTGAAGCTACTTCCCTTCAATAAATTTCCTCCCTCATTTTTGTCCTAAAAATGGAGACTTCAACAGGAAATCTGTCAGAGCAAAGGTTTTTGATGTGTCATTAACTCTCAGTTTTCCACAAGAACAGAGAAAAGCAGTCCTGCAGATAATTCAAAGCCAAAGGCTCTGTTTAACTTTGTAGTTCATTGTTTCTAGGGGCTTGGTGGCAGCCTTACCTCCCTAATTATATTTGTCTTTGTTTCTTATTAAAATGAGTTTGTCTATCTTAGGACCAGGCAGTTGGGTGACGTGAAGATTCTTGCATAGAATTTGTGAAAGTCACCAGGGGAAATCCACAAAGCACATAAATAATCAAACTAGATTTGAGTTCATGTTTTAAATCACCTGTAATCAATTGCTTTCCTCCTCTGTGACTAAAGTGAGCTGGAGATGAGAATTAACTATAGGAGAAGTTGCAATAAAATGAGTCTTTACATTTAAATGAAGATACAGACTGTGTCGTGGCCAAAATGGATAATATAACTGGTGTTGATGATTTCCATGCCTGGTCTCACAACCTTCTATTCTGTAGCCAGAGTGGTCTTTTTATGCAAATCTCTTGATGTCATCACTACCTAACACACTTCTGTGGCTCTCTGTGCTAGTCATTAGGACTATTCACAACTATCCTGTTCTCTCCTTCCCAATATGCATAGGGACTGTATGATGTCCCAAACCACAAGTTAGAGGTGGTAGTGTGGTTGGCACTGGCCAAGAAAATGTGAGCAAGTGTGTCACTTCTAGGTAAGAAGGTTTCAGAGCCAGCATGTGTGTCTGGCTACATGCTTTGCCTGGCAAGGCAACTGGCAGCATCTAAGACTGTGGCTGCTCCATTCACCCTGGTCCTTGGGTGATTGATAAGCCTAGCTCTCAGCAGCTAGTGATGGGTGTGTGCTAAAAGCAAAAAAGAAATCTGTTGTTTTAAACCACTGAGATTTTAAGCCTCTAGTTAACTCAGCATATCCCCATCACTGCACATATCAAGCTACACCATCACTGTCTCAGTTTCTCTTGAACCAGACTCTGAACAACTTGAGGCCAGGATTATTTCTTCTATAGTATGTTAACTCCAGTGCATGAAAATATTTAAAACAATCTGGTAGAAAATGAAATTCTCTTCCTTTTTGGCCTCTGTGTGCCTCCGTGTTTATGTTTTTCTAACATTTAACCCACACCCAGTATCACCAGCTGCAATGATAAGATGTCTCTGGTTTTCAAATATATGGGGAATGGTGGAGCTATTCTTTTGGACCACAGTGCACATAGGAAGAGCTGGCAGGGGAGAGAGAGATGCTGAGGCACACTTAAGTGCAGGAGTTAGAAATACCATGAGTTAAGGAGCAGACAGGATTTTGAAAGAAAGTCTTGGGCAACCACACAGAAATAAAGTTACCCCAAAGTGTTAGGCTTATGAGGGATAATAGTTGTCATCTGGACTAGACTCCTATATCCTTGTTTCTATCATAATACCAGCATTTACTGAAGACTTACTCTGTGCCAGGCACACTTCCAATTGTTTTACAATTAACTCATTGAATCCTCACAACAACCTGATAAAGTGGCTAGTGTACAATTTCTATTTTACAGATGAAGAACAAGTATGGAGAGGTAAAGTAAGTTGCGTCTGGCCACACAGCTAGCAGATATCCCTCTCCAAATTCAGTATCTGCTTGAATACTCCCCATCGTGGGGAGCTCACTAACTCCCACTGCATCTCACCTACCTCCACCCTCCAAGCCATGTCCTGCCTCCCCTCAAACTGCCATCCTCTGAACATTTCTGCCTCCTAGACCAACATAAAGCAATTCCACTCTTTTCTCTTTGTCAGCCCTTCAAACGCAGCAATCATGTGTCCCCTAGGGTTTCTCTTCCCCAGTCTAAACAGTCCCAGTTCACTGAACTGTTTCCAATGTGCCATAGCTTGAGGCCCCTAACCATCCCAGCTCAGTGACTCACATTTGGTGGGGACCAAAAAATGTCAGTTGAGTCAGTAGAGTGGAACTGGTGACTTTCCCTTCCAAATCTTGAGCTGAGCTGGTGTCTCCTACAACCCTGAGCACATTCCTTACACAGCGTGAAGCAGAGTCTAGAAGCAGAAATGGAGCCACAACCTGTCACAGGAGCAGCTGGCTGGCCACGTGCCCTGCATGGGCCCCATCCTGGCAATGGAAGGCTAAAGGGTCTGCATGTTCAGAAATCCTTGTTCTTACTCCATGGGAACACAGTTTCTGCCCCTCCCAGCTCTCCTGCCCCCCAGAGGCAATGTGAGAACAGCCCCTCACTCACCATGGAGTTCATGGCGAAGTGATTGTGCTGCGTCTGGAGGTCTAGGGCGTGCTGGTAGCTGACTCCGATCTCCGTGTGGCTCTGGAGGAATAACTCCTTGTTGTGGCTTATCCAGTCGAACATCTAGAGGGGACGAGAAGGCACAGAGTAATCAGAAAGGTCATGAGTCTGATAGGGAAAAACTTTCAGAGCTACTGGAAGGAAAGATGCCCTCTTGCTGGTGCCCAGTGAGAACCAGCCATCGTTATCAGATCGTTCACAGGGCTGGGCCACAGCCTGGTTCCTCAGAAGAACCCTGGCTTCCAGCATAAGATCCCACCAGCAGCCTCTATTTTACTCTATAGAGCCTAAGGGGAAAAAAGAAAATGAGTGAGATAGGGAAATGGGAGAGAAAGCTGTTTACTATCCCCAGCTGCTGCCCCTTTGTGAAACCTTTGGAAAGCCTCAGAGAGGCCCCATGCTTGCTTTACAGACAGGTGCTGAGGAGACAAGCTGGGAGGCTTAATCATTGCCCCGGTGCATGAGTAGAAAAGACACATACCCCTAAGAGGCTGCAGGGTACCTGTACATGCCCTGTCCCACTTACATACTGCCCAGCCACACACACTGTTGAAATGGTTCTGAATCGAATCAACTTTTCTTGCAACTCTACAACCTCACAATTCCAGGGTTTCTGGTATAACCCACCAGGGGCCAGAAGAGGAGGACTGTAAGGATAGAGTAAGTACTGCCTGATGCTAGCACAGTGGGCATTGAGCCACTTTCCTCCTCTGAGCTCTATACCCTGGTTTTCTTGTAAGTATCCACCCTTCCTCTAACCTACACACTTCAAGGGGGGCTGCTTAGGACCCCTAGCTCTTCAGGACCCCAGTCCTAAGCCAAACAGTACATGACATTTCCCAACCAATGAGATTGTCTCAGAAATGAGAATGGGATCCAATTCAGTATGTTTAAAATGTGAAGGGAAGTTTGCTGGAAACTTCTGGGAAAACAGATCCCTAGTTCTTTAGAGACAGCTTCTCTTCCTCTAATACTGTTATATATGCCTCTGACCTCAAATTGCTGTAGCCATTCTTCTGTTGAACTGAGGGTGAAGCCAATGGGCAGGGAAAGGGCGGGGCCAAGACAACTGCAAGAAACAGGCAGAGCCCTGACCAAGCCTTTCCTGATCTCCACTTTCTTGCTTGACTTCCTTAGGACCTGAGCCAAGAAATCCTCTTTATTATTCAAGCCAGTTTTCCAGTCAGGTTTTCTATAATTTTCTGCCCAAAGCAGCCAAGTGATAAAGCCAGGAAAGGTTTGAAACAGTGTACTTGGAGAAGAGGACTACAATACTTGGGCCTCACGCTCCATAGTTTGGGATGGACTCAAGGCTGTGGCCCAGTTGCAGAGTGGAGCAGGGAGTAGCTGAGCATGGGAGCAGGCTGAGAAGCTGCAAAGATTGTGAGAGCTTCCCAGAGATAGAAGCACAGAACCACTTCATTCCATTATTCCCCTGTAACAGAAGAGTGAATTAATTTTTTCAGTTATATTCAACCAACATTTATGGGACACCTGCTATGTGCCAGGTACTGTTGGAGGCAACAGACAGGCAAAAATGGCTAAAATGGCTTTTAAGTGGCTTAAAGGGCAGTGTGGAAAACAGACATGGACTCAGATACAACTTCAGCACAACCTGGCATTAATTCAATTAAAATGACAACTCAAACAAAATCTACCAATACAATAAAGGCCAATGTGGGCTGTTGAAGGAGCACAGAGGAGGGCACCTCACCTACTTGTGAAGGAGTGGGATGTGGGAAGAGCAGAGAAGGCTTCTCAGAGGAGGTGACACCTGCGTTGAGCCTTGACTCAGGTAGGAATCAGCCAGGTGAAGGCCAGTGAGATGCGTGCTCCGGGCAAAGGGGCAGAACAGGGGGCAGCCCAGTGCCATCATGGGACAGGACAGTGCAATATCTTCAGCTGTGCTTCCAGAGCTTGATGGCAAGGGAAGGTGTGGCTGGGGATGGAGGTGGGATGGGCTGACCAGGAAGAGTTCTATGCGCAGGCGGCAGGGAACTTGGACCACGCACTGTGGCTGCAAGGCGTCAGTGGAGGGTTTTAAACCGAGCAGTGAGGTGTGAAAGGAGCTTTGATAGCAGCGTGGGAAGTGGAGTGGAGGGGGAGAAATGGGGCAGAGAAATGGATTAGGAAACTGTTGTAGTAATCCTGGTGAGGATTATAGAAATCCTGGTGATGAAGGTGAGGACATGGAAACCTAGATTAGCAGTGGATCTGAGAAGTGGGCAGATTTGAGAGCTATTGGGAGAAAGACTGAGCACTCATGGTTGTTTGGAGAAGGAAGGGTTAGGAAGAGCTAGGGAGAAGAGCCAGGTTTCCAGCATGGCAACCTGGGACCTTGTCATAAAAGGCGCCACCAAAAGTGTTGCCCAAAGATAAGGGTAAGAAGCTTGCATGGGGGGGGGGGAATAGTGGGTTTATGATAGTCCATTTTAGATGTGCTGAATTTGAGAGGCTTATGAGTCTCAAGCAAAGGTGTACTGTGGGAAGTTAGATTTGTCTGAAGGTCAGGAGAGAGACATCAGGGCTGTCACAACTCACACCTAAGTATAAAAACATCACCTTCTGAAAGCAAACGTGCACGATTTCGAGATTATTCTCCCTTTTGAATTACACTTCTGCCTTCCTGCACCAACCAAAGTATCATTCTTCCACTTGTGTCAGAGGATTTGTTTCAGGCTGGGGCTCCTGTAGAGGTCTGTGTCTGTGCTGTGTGCACTGTCCTGCGCCCACCAGCCACAGCCAGCCCCGCACTTGGTCAGGCCTAGTTTGTTTTCTTTTTTTCTTTAATCATTATTAAGGACAAGGGGTAAAAGAAGACAAGGTCCCAAAGAGTTTAGAGGACTCTCTTTCTGTAGCATTTGATCTTTAAAATTCTTCCTCCTAGCCCCATTTTAAAATAATTTCTCATCTCTTTTCCTTATTGACAAAAGAATCAATAAAGTTAATGAAAATCTGAAATGCCTGAAGTCCTTGGAACTTGTGATGAAAAGCACTCACTCCATATACTTACTTGGATATCTCAGTGGCCGAGAAGTGACCTTCCCTGTATTTTATGTTAAATGACTATTTAGATATGCAAATAAGCAGCTGAGTTGTGTGCTAGCACTGGAATGATTAGATTGTCCGGCGCCAGGTCCCTGCTGGACTACAGAGCAAGGAGAGCTGAACACAGACCAATTAGGGTAGAAAGCAATATAAACGTTGAGTTAAAAGACAGGAAAGAGTTGAGAGTGCTGGAGGAATTGTGCACCTCCCCGAACTGCCTTCTTACAGAATGAGGTCTGCGCTCATACCATCCCACCTGATTCTGCCTCCTGCATGTGGAGCACATGAGCTGCTCACTGGTGGCTGGGCATTCTGGGAGAGTTTAGCTTGTACTGGAGGTAGTGCTCCAAAGAGATGACATATGTCTCAGAGAAAGACCTTCTCTGGGGACTAGATAGTGCCATGTGACATCAGGAACCAGGGTTTCTACACAATAGCAATTTCCTAAGGGACAATCACAAGTCTTTTTTGGGCCTAAACTTGCTGCCTATTTGTATACAATCCTCACCCTTGCAAACCTGGCTGTCTGCAAGGGTAACAGTCATCTCTATTGCATTCAGTGGAACTGGCTGCAGAGACAGGATGCGTGTGTGCATGCAGACAAGTGGGACGAAGACTAGGCTGGTTTCTGGCCTGCCTCTGTGACTAACTCCCCATAAGACTGTGGGCAAGTCACTTCATTTCTGGGCTTCTCATTTGCAAGCCATGGTGATTCCCAGATTGGAGGTAAGCATCCTGGTTTACAATAGGCTCAATTTGGAAATTTACGGAATGCATTTTTTTCCCATTAAAACTAAAAGAGTTTTATTGCATCTCCTGAATGAGATGGTATGTTCATTACTATAATATATAGTATTGCATATTCATTACTACATTTCCAACTTTTTGAATAAAAGGCCAGTGAGAAAACTGCCATTGTTTCATAACCATAGAAAGGGTGCTTCTTAGTCTCAGCCCTGACATTTGTGCAATGCTTGAGTTCAAAATGTCCACTCTCCCACATCATCTCATTGCATTCTCAAATCCCACAAGGTGCTATCATCAGGCCCACTTCACAACTGGAGCAAACAGGTTCAGGGAAGTGAAGCCCAAGGTCTAGAATTCATTCTTTTTACCCAGTGCCACATTTACTGAGTGCCTGGTGAGCCAGGCTCTTGGGACACTGCCCTGCCTCCTGCTCACATGGCTGTAAGACTTCCTCTGCCTGGGTTCCACAGGACCCTCACCCTGCAAGGGCCCTATGGAGCTCCAGCCAGGGTAAGGTGCTGTCCCTCATGTGGGACCACCCACTCACCAACACCCAGCCTCCTCCTCCACCACAGCCTGCACCATCAGGATGCAGTGCAGATGCCTGGGGACAGATGGTTCAAATAGCTTCACTTCTCTCAATAAATACCTATTCAATGAATGAGGGAATGAATACTATGAGTTAGCCGTGGGCTCTAGGGTTATTAATTTCCAGACATGCAGACCCTTTCTAAGCTCCCTTCTAGCTAGTACATTTTATAATTTGATTTATTTAAATGTGGCTTTCTGGAAGACACTTGAACTAGATTGACTCAAGGATATAAACAAACAAACAAAGGAAATATCTCCAAAGTGGTTTCAAACTTTTTGATGTCTTTCTTTTTTGAGAAGCTACAAATGGCGGGTTCAACAAAATATAACAACAACAAAAAATTCCTCCAAGAGGAAAGTTCATCTCTAAATAATGCAATTGTTTCTCCTTGTCCGAAACCAACATAGTTTTGCCTCATTAAGAAGATAGATGTTATATGTAGGCCACTTGGGGTTTTGTTTTGTTTTGTTTTGCCCTTTTCATGTTTTATGTTTAAGCTAAGTATTTTTTTTATTCTGGCTAAAATCCAGTGAAAGTATACAAATCTGGTTCTTAATAAATAGTAAATGTTAAAGAAATCTATTTAAATGCAAATTAGGAAAATAAACAAACCTTTTTCTCCTTTTTCTTTTAAAGACAGGGCTCCCTAAAATGTTATTACTGTTCTGTTTTTAAT